CTGCCAACACATCCACAACATGCTGCTGTGAACATGTAAGAAATATTGCTGCTGCAAATGTAACATACATGAAATAACCCCATATAACATACATGAATTACCTCGTAGCAGATCTATACAGGTGGAGCTGGGGAAAGTGGAGGGTTTCTGAAGCAAGCTGCAACTGCTAATATTATATATAAATATATTTAATATATAAACATAACATATTTTTCTTAAATGTATACATGCATGTATGTGTATTTATATATATACATAATAAATATACACAGTACACACACATACAGTGGTAAAAATAAGTATTGAACACGTCACCATTTTTCTCAGTAAATATATTTCTAAAGGTGCTGTACACATGAAATTTTCACCAGATGTCGGTAACAACCCAAGTAATCCATACATACAAAGAAAACAAAACAAATAAGTTCAGAAATTACGTTATGTGTAATAAAATGGAATGACCCAGGGGAAAAGTATTGAACACACTTACTGAAATGTATTTAATACTTCGTACAAAAGCCATTGTTGATAATGACAGCTTCAAGACGCCTCTTGTATGGAGAAACTAGTTACATGCATTGCTCAGGTGTGATTTTGGCCCATTCTTCCACACTGTCTTTAAATCTTGAAGGTTCTGTGGGCCTCTTCTATGAACTCTGATCTGTAGTTATTTCCATAGATTTTCTATTGGATTCAAGTCAGATGACTGGCTGGGTCATTCTAGCAGCTTTACTTTCTTTCTCTGAAACCAATTGAGACTTTCCTTGGCTGTGTTTGGGATCATTGTCACGCTGGAATGTCAACCCTCATGTCATCTTCATCATCCTGGTAGATGGCAGCAGATTTGTCTCGGATGTCTCGGTACATTTTTCCATTCATCCTTCTTCAATTATATGAACTTTGCCAGTGCCACACCATGATGTTTTTGGGGTGATGTGCAGTGCCATTTGACCTCCAAACATAGGCAAATATAGTCCAAATATAGTCTGGTCTCATCTGACCAGACCATATTCTCCCAGTATTTCACAGGCTTGTCTAAATGTTGTGCAGCAAACTTTAAACGAGCTTCAACATGCTCAGCAATGGAGTCTTGCATGGTGAGCATGTATACAGGCCACGGCGGCATTACTTATGCAGTAAGTGCATTACTTATTGTACTTATTGTTTTCTTTGAAACAATTGGACCTGCTAATTCCAGATAGCAGGATAGAAATCCTTCTGTAACCAATGTCATCAGTATGTTTTGCAACAGTAAGGTTGTGAAGGTCTTGCGAGAGCTCTTTGCTTTTACCCGTCATGAAATGTTTCTTGTGTGACACATTGGTAATAAGACACCTTTTTATAGGCCATCAGTTGAGACTGAACCAGCTAATATTAATTTCCACTAACAAGGGGCAGGATCGCTTTCTAATTACTGATAGATTTCAGCTGGTGTCTTGGCTTTCCAAGCCTTTTTGCACCTCCCTTTCTTCATGTGTTCAATACTTTTTCCCTGTGTCATTCCACTTTATTACACAGAACTTAATTTCTGAACTTATTTGTTTTGTTTTCTTTGTATGTATGGATTACTTGGGTTGTTACCGACATCTGTTGAACATTTCATGTCAACAGCACCTTTAGAAATACATTTACTGAGAAAAATGGTGACGTGTTCAATACTTATTTTACCTGCTGTGTGTATATATATATATATATATATATATATATATATATATATATATATATATATATATATATATATATATATATATATATATATATATATATATATATATATATATATATATATATATATATATATATATATATATATATATATATATTATATATATATATACAGAGTTCTGGCATGAAACTCTAGATGGTGCAGTCCAATAGGTCTAATTATATATAATATAATATATTTATATCTTAGGGCTGCCCTCGACTAAAGATTTTTCTAGTCGACTAGTAGTCGTTCATTTGAAGCATTAGTCGACTAATCGCACTTTTATTAATAAACCATTAAATCATAAATATGAGCCTTTAATTGCCTACGTAGCCTTATAAGCGCTCAAGTGCGCATAAAGCTTGCCACAGCACACCAGCAAGTATGATTATGTATGTGTCAGGGAAAAACAGTAAGGAGGCTGCATTAACATTAATAATGTATTGATAAACTAGTGCTTTCTTTGTTTTCGGTTTTAAGGGATGATGTCGGCGACACTGACTCGTCATCTCCGCAGAAGTGATGTGCCTTTATGCATGTTTCATACGGATTACATAATCTGAGAATATTGTTTTCCATTTGAATTGGTTCATTTGAAAGTAGACATTTCACTCTCTATAGATATGCTTTCATATCTGTATGGAAAGTATACACGAAGTTTCGCACTCAAGTTCACAGAGACCAAGACGGCAGAAAGCGCATCCTGTTTGCTTTGATTATTTTTCAAAAGCGTAATGTTTTGTTGTTATTGTGAGTGCACACAAATAAATGTAGAGTCTTTATATATTCAAAAGATGTATTACTCTTATCTGTATAACCAAAAATGAAGGAGAATTTTAAGAGCAATTGACCGCACCGGCGCCTCCATCTGTCTTGTGAGCACGCTACTGTTTAGTCTATCTAATGTTAACCTATTTCTCTAGGTTAACATTAGATTGAGCAGCCATGTAAAGTTGCTGCTACTAAAATATTTCAGATGATAAGTCATATTTGAGGTTGATGAATGATAGTCGAGCGTTTGGATGTCCTGATCGATGTACTTCACCGTACTGTATCACCACATAGGTCCAGCCGTTACCGATCTATCCGTCACGATCTGCGTGACTTCGCCAATGTGGATTTTTTTTTCTGCAACTAAGCTACTAATAAACTTTTGGTCGACCAAGCCTCTTCTGGTCGACTAACGATTAGTCGACTATTAGGGGTCAGCCCTAATAGATAGATAGATAGATAGATAGATAGATAGATAGATAGATAGATAGATAGATAGAAAAAATATAGAAAGCATTTAAATCAGTCAATGATTCTTTAAACAGAAAGTTCAAAAGAACTATGTAAACTTTTTATCTCCCATTTGACTTTTTTCCTCACAGTTGCGATTTATATTAATTGCGAGATATAAACTAAGAATTGCGAGAAAAAAATTAAGCCATGTGAGACAAAATATTCACAATTATCATTTTTGTTTTTTATTCTGTGGTGGAAACAAAACGAAAAATTAAGCATAAAATGCAAACTTAGAATTGCAATATGTAAACTCAGAATTGAGAGAGAAAAAAGGAATCTCACAATTAACTTTTAAGCTTCCAAAAAATTTATTTGTCTTTTTTTGATGTACTTATTGCATCCTTGCTAAATTAAAATATTAATAAAAAATCAATCAATAAAAAAAAAATCTTAGTAACTTGTACAGTGTGGCTGTCTGTCTCTATAAAGAGCATCCTATCCTAACTACTTGTGATGCTAGCATGTTGCTAAGCTAACAATGCCTTTTTTAATGAATTGAACTATGAAATTTTAATGCTTTTAATTATGGAATAAAAAACAACAATGGCCTTAGAAGGGTGTAATAAAAAACATAATTAATCAACAATGGCCTTAGAAGGATGTAATAAAAACATAATTAAACAATAATGGCCTTAGAAGGTATTATACTTTTGTTGTTTACAATTAGAGAAATGCATAAAAAAGCTGTATCAATAGGTTGTTCACTAGATTTTTGAGACAGTTAATAGAATTGTTACATTAAACACATGCTGAAATGCAATTGTAGGTTCTCAATCTGCTTCTGGTCTGAATTTTTGCACAACATGAATGCAGCAATTACTATGTTTCTTGAATGATATTCTCCTCCAGCCACAGGGGATTTATTCACATCTAAGCCATGTGACAAACCATCTGGTATGACCAAATAGCCAATAAATCCTGAGGAAATAAATTGGGGTGTAGTGTTCATTGAGAAAGATCATACGGAAGCACAGGCTAAAACTACCTTGATAATAGCATAACACCTCTCTTTAAACCGTCATAAACCATTTGCTGAACCTTCATAATGAAATGCCTTTTAGAACAAACATTCCAATGGTCTTAATAAACAGGATCATTTAAATGGCTTTATGAGACACGCTGGCTATCGCTTCTGGTATTAATGCCCAATTAAAAGCAGTTAAAAGACAATGAGGTATTTTACCAGCCATTTTAATAACTCATAAAGACGAGGCAGGTGCAAACGCTAGTCCCCTCAGATGTGCTAAATTATGCTATAGCTTGATTGGATGAAATACCAAAACAACACGCCATCAAACCATTCATCAAAGTACACTGTTGACTCCATTGCTGAAAGATATTTGGAAACACATGGAGTAAGATTTTGATCTTATTAGAACCATGTGAGCAACCTAGATGCTGGAAACATATATTTTACCCTCAAAATTTGTCAACAGGGTAACCTATGCCTAGAAATCAGTTCAGACCATACAGACTGCAACTCACTTTCTTGGCTTTTTGTTGAGTGTGCCAGTGACGTAATATCCCGGGTTACATTTGTAGCGGCACACAGTGCCCACGTCATGCCCGCCTCCATGACACTGAGGAACTAGCAGCGTGGCATTGGGTACAGAAGGTGGATCCGGACACTCAATCTTGCAGTAAGCCTCTGGATATGACCATAGTCCATCCTCAAGACAAACCAATGTGTCACTTTCACCTGAAAAACAGATCCTGATAAGAAACCCAATGGAACAAAAATGCTGTCAGTATAAGTAGTAAAGGGCTTTTCATAAGAAGGCAAGAGGGCAGTCAGTTCTACTATTTCTGAGTGTACTTAATCATTATTTTCAGGAAAAAAGTATTTAAATATATTTTTTCAAGGTAAGGAGTTTTTTTTTTTACCAGCTTCCATGTTGATCGCACCTATTACTTTTAGCATGAATTCAAACAATAAGCAGTAAAGTAGTTTTGTTAAAATATTTTTAGACATAAAAAAGAAAAAAATATTTTCAATCATTCTTTTATTAAAGTTTTTATTTATTTATATATTCATTCATTCATTCATTCATTCATTC